ATTGGATATCTACAGATAAATCGATGGATTATGTTTGTAACCTTCAAAATTGGTTTAATTTCTACAAAAGTAGTTAAAGTACGAACAGATGAAATGCAATGGTACTTTAGAATTATTCCATTATCGCTGCAGTGCATTTATCAATCCAACGCGACAGGTTTTAAAATTAATCTACAAAAACTAACCATAGCGGCGGCTTAAATTACTACCCTGTTACTGTGTTTTCTAACTCTTTTGTGATTTGGCCCCTTCCTATTCCGATTTGCGCCCCAATTTTACTTTAGACTTTCTTCCTTAAGATCACCCTTAGTGGCTATGATCTCTAGAAAAAATCCAAAAATGTTTGTTTTACTCTAAGCTGATGTTCTAAGGATCGTTTTTCGTTGCTCGGCTTTCTTTTTGAGAACAAGTGGATTAAGAGTTGCTGGTTTATAAGAGCTCTCCTTGTAAGGTATGTGTGGGCTTACAAGTGTCTCAAACAGGATTTCATTACAAAGCGAGTGGCGTATTCTTGCATAGTGAAGGCGCTGAAAGATTTTATTCTTATCTCTTTCTGTCTCTGACTTATTTCTCATTCAACAAGGGGAAGATAATTAACCTGGCCATTCGAAATACAAAAGCATACCATTGATGCGCATCAATACGCTTATTTCAAATCTGTTTTCCGTAATGCTAAACGATTCTCCATGGAAAATATGAAAGTCCCCTCCAGAAGGCAAAAAAAAAATAGCATGCACAATCTTCCATTCTTGCTCGAAAACCCAAAAATCACCCAAAGGACAAAAGCTCATTTTTCGTTGTTAGACCTATTCTAAACTTTTATGTCGTTTGTTCAGGATGAATTGAGTATGAACACTTAACTTCATTGTGCACGTTATTTTTAGAATAAGGGAACTTCCATCACTCTCTTCAGAAAATTGTTTGAAGTACGGAGTATAGACCTGAAATCAACGTTTTGAGGCGCTCTATTGCTTAGCTTTTTTATTTTGAGTGGTCACTATCCTCCCTTGTAAGCTCACTAATAGATGTCTTCACAGATGCCAAGAGATATTCTTCTGATTTTTCGTGAAACGAATATTCTAGCCTTTATGCCCCTTTTTGCTTATAACCCTGACTTTGCTCATTCGCTCTCTTGTTTACTACAAAGGATACTTGCTTGGACATTTTGTCCTGTGAATACAATTTGCCCAAATAATGTGACAGATCGAAGGCCAAAACGATCTCGACCCGTCGTTGTTATATAACTTGAGCACGACTTAACCCTGCCTTGACATGGATCAATCACTGGTAAATTTGAAAAGAGTCGATCGTTTTCGCTCCGCATGGTTATGTGCAGCAAATACAATATAATTGCCACGTTGTTGTTATTTTGATGAAATATCCAATTGTTCGGCTTTAGGAACGAGCACGACAAAGAGCTGTGTGTTGGTCGTTCACCGCTGGCCATGGGTGCGTCGTTATCTACGCCGTCTCCAGTACGGGCCTTAATCGGACAGTTTGATCGTCTGCAGTTATGTAGCAAGGATAAAGATGATGTGGAAAAAGAGAATACCGAACCTGCAAAGCAGCAGAATATTCAGACAACTATAGTCACACAGCCGGTCAGCCTTACTTTTTTAATATCGATTTCAGGGGTTTTTTCCCACTTATTTCTATTGTGGTGTTGTATTCAACTCTAATTAGATACAATAATGCCACGTTGAACGATTTCTATAAGCTGTAGTGAATGGTACGCATTTACAAGGCGCTGAGTGGTAAACTTCGGGCTGTCTTTTCATTTTTTAAAGTCATTAACATCCATCCACGTTACGCATTTCATAGCTTAATTGGTCTTTAGCAAAAGTATAAAATACAACTTCTCAAACTTTTATTTCTTTCTTTACCTGTAT